CATCCTATGTATGTGTGTGCACTTGGACGTGTGACCTAGGCCCCTGCTGTGTGAGCTGATTGTCAGGCCCAAGGGGTCTTTCTGCCCTCAAGAGCCTTCCAAGTCTTGGCTGCCTCCTCACAGAAGAGTCTGGCAGTGCCTGGGTCTTACTTGCTTTGGCAGTTTCTAAAATAGGCACATTGAAGTAGACTCAGGGTTCCCTACACTTCACAGGTGATGCCCAACGTCCCATGTTTTCTAGTGCCAAGGTCACTGTGGAAAACAAATGGATACACCGGCATGCAGAACAGGCATGTACCCCGCCTTCCTGCCCTCATCATGTCTGGGCAGAGAGTTCATTAATCTGGACCTCGGTGGAAGGAGGCTTGACGCCTTCCATCACTGGGGGATCCTTGAATGTCGATCTCAGTAGGGTCTAGCTGGGCCTGTAGGCAGCGTGTGTCAGGCCGTGCCTCTGGCATTCATGTCAGGCTCAATGCTTCCCATGAGCCACTTGGACAGACTTGTCTTCGGCACTCTGAGTCCCTAGTCAGCTTTATCTACCTCCATGTTTGCGGAAGGGGCCTATGGACACGGTCACGACTTGGCCAGCAGCTTGGATGGCCTAGGCTCTGATCCAGTTTGAGGAATGGTGGCATGTGGCAGCACCATGGAGGAATGGGCAGGAAGGGCTGCGCCGTGGGCAGGTGATGGCTGCAGTGCTCAGGGCGTGATCACTGCCAAGCTCACCGTCCCTCAGGCTGTGAGCGTCTGCCATGCGCCTGGCCCTTGGGCAGAGCCAAGGCAGTTTGGCTACAGAGACCCCTGCAGTTTGGCTACAGAGACCCCTTTCCTGGTGACCTGGAGTCATGTGGGACACGGGTGGTGTCCCCCGAGGTGGTGAGTATACCGAGCTCAAATCCTGCATGTTCTCTTAAACCACGTGGCTTCTGGCTGGAGGTGGCCAATTTCACTTTTGCATAAGGATATATCTGGGACACCTGCTGCATACCAGGTGCACATATACAGAATGTGACTGTTTCTTCAAAAGATGGACACAACACGGGCTTTTAATTTGGGGCCCATGGTGTACTTCAGGGGACCCACAAGCCCCCTAAAGTTTAAGCAAAACTGGCCTGTGTTGGGAGAGGGATGCTCGGAAGGTAGAGGGCTCTGTGATCCCCAGGTAGGGAGCTCTGTAGAAAGGACATTGAACAGCAGAGGCCTCGGCTAACCTGCACTCTGTGCCCTGGCAGCCAGGATCCTGCATTAGGGCAGAGCCTGGGCAATGTGAAGAGGATGCCTGGGGCGAAGGAGGCGGCTTCTCCCAGGTGCAGGTGGGCATACAACTGACCCTTGACCCCCTTGGGGCCAGCTGTCTCAGGTGTCACCAGCCCAGGCCCAGGGATGTACCTTTGCAACCCTGAGGCTGTGAGCTGTTCACACTAGCTTCTCTGTGCTGTGACACTTCATTCTCTGCCCAGCCCAGGCCCCGCAGGATCCTACATGTGCAGAGACGAAGAAGCTGGCCCACACAGCGATGGGAGGCGAGTGTGGTGGTGGTGGGGGCAGGAAGCTAGTGGGAGCCAGAGGGGATCGTGGAAACAGCTGCTGCTCACGCCATTGTTGTCACTGGGGCTGACCTGGCACCCCGCTCAAGACGGCCCCATAGATGTTGCTGGAAACATCTCGAAGTGCCCAGCCTCCTACATGACTAGGGTGTTGGGGCCTTTTAGCAGACAAGTGTGTCCATGCCTGCCTAGGACGGTGTGGGCCACTCTGAACCCAACCTTACCTATCCTGATTCGTCCATCTCCACATGTCCAGCAGCTCTGGGCCTTAGAGCATGGTGGTGAGTGAAACCAAGTCCCTGCTCTGGGGCCTCCCACCCTTGTGGTGAGAGGCGGGCAGGTGGGCAGGTGAGGAGTGTTGGAGCTCTGAGGCGGGCATTCGACTTGAGACTGGAAGGGACTTCTGGCCTGCAGTGCTATGAAGGGAGCTGATGCTGCTCTGTTCAGGGTCTGCTTCAGGATCAGCAGGGCCTTGTGCTCCTTATGGTGGTTCTGTCCAGCTTGAGTCTGCAGTGGCCTAGTGTCCACATTACCTGTACCTCCCAAGCCCACCTCTGTTCTCATTAGGGCTTCCAGACAGGGAGGGAGACACCAGGCAAATAGACAAGCCAGCAAGTGTGCAGGTCCAGAGGGAGTTGACTGCGCGGCAGGAGAGGAAGAATGTTCTAGAGAGTGTGAGAGGAGCCTGAGCTGTCCCTGGAGAAGGGACGCTTGGACTGAGGTGCAGAAGGTGAACCAGACAGGGGCAGGGAGGGCATTTCTGGGGACAGAAGGGAGGCCATGGAGCCAGAAACTTCCTGGAGTTCACAGGAGGCCATGGAAGCCGGAGTGTGTTGACCAGGGTGCAGGATGGGGGCATCCTCAGAGGTTGAGGGCCCATCACTGGTGACCCCGCCATGGACCTGGGTCCCCTGGGAGGACTCGGGGCTGCAGGGACGCCCTGTGTGACATGGAGGAGGCAAAGGGAAGGACACGGTGGGCGCCTCACCGCTATCTTGGGTTAATGAAAGGAACCCATGGCTAGAAATTTTCAGGAAGAGCTAGAACAGGAATAGCATCACGGAGATGAGCTCCAGCCACCCCCAAGGTCCCTGTTGACAATCCCTTCCCAGAGGCTTCCTGCAAGCCAGGGGCCCCCAAGCTTTGGGCTGTCTCCTGGTAGCTGGGACTCGAAATGTAACTGTGAACCTTAGGTTTCAAATGAAGTGCCAGCCTGTCAGTGAAGAATCAGGTTTCTAGCTTTCAAGTGTCTTCTGTGTCCTGCCAGCCAAAGTCAGCAACCTGTGTCTTGTTTAGAATAATGATGTTGCTTTCTGAAGAGTGAAAATGCCCAGGTTTTGGTTGAAAGTAAACATTTTCTGACTTTTGTGACGTGATCGTTGCATTATGAGCTGTAAGAGCTCTCTGAGGCAGCGTTTTTCTGTTTGCTGTTTTGTCTAATGCTCACAGAATCCACCTGGTTAATTGTTTAAAATCAATTGTTGATTGAAGTTAGACTTTTTGTCAGATTTCTAACACAGAAATGAAATTGTGAGCAGCCAGGATTTTGCCGTGGCAGGTGGTGGCTAGAGGGGCTTTCGTGGGCAATGACAGAAGCGACGTTTCCTGCTGTTCTCCAAAGCAAGCAGCCAGTGCTCAGACACCCTTGGAATCGGCTCTCCTGAGGCCGCATGCCGATGGGTGCTCCTTCAGTTAGAACCCTTTGGCCTCGGGGAAGTTCTTGCTGGTTTCCTCTCATGAGAAGGTCTTGTTCCTGCTTTTTGGCCCGGGACACCTGAATTCTTTACACGGTCATCAGTGAGGGATGTAGACTGGGCATTTGGGGGAGGAGGCAGAGATGCTTTGGAGATGTTCAGGGATGACCCGTTTAACCTTCTAGCTCCTTAGCTGGGAAACAGGGCGCTGTGGCCTGCCCTCTTCCCAAGGGTGTTTGGTGACTGCCACCGGATGCTTTGCTCACACAATGCCACCTGCCTCTGACCACATGGCTCCTTACTTCCCTCCCAGCCCTGGCGCCAAGCGCTCCCCGTAAGTATGAATTGAATGTGGCATGGGACATTCTGATGCTTTTGAACGTAGACTAACCGCTCTCGTCGCTGGCCTGCTCACCCTCCCCCTAACAGTCACTGTGCTGCCTGCTTCCCCTCTGGGTCTCTAAGCCTGCCTTGTGGGGCCTGTCTCAGTGGAGCTAGGACATTGGGGGTCCCAGAGCTGTGTTTAAAGGTCCTGCAGCCAGCACTGGGCCCTGAGGAGCAGGTTCCAGGAGCCAGACTCAGGCAGGGATTTATGTCCTGGAGCCTGGCCCAGGACGAGGCCTTGCTGGGGCAGTGATAAGGGTGTCCTGGCCACACGGCAGCAGCCAGGTGAAGCAACCTCGGCTCTTCCCCTGAAAGGGCCCAGGGTTAAAGCAGCCTTGTGGCCAATAACATCACCGAGGATACCAGACACCAGGTCAGCACCCAGCTTGTTTCTTTCCGCCCCACAGTTACCCTGAAACAGGGCTCTCTGGTGCCTGTTTATAGGCACAGAGCTGAGCTCCATGAGATTCAGAGATTATGTTGAAGCCAGGCGGGAAGATGGAGCCTGGGAGTCTGGAGGGGGTGGTGAAAAGCTCTTGGTCAGGAAGCGCTTTCCAGGCTGGGTCGTCATCCCCCAAAAGGGCGAGAAGGACACAGGGACAGTGAATGCGGATGGATGATTCTGGACTTTGTCATGCTCCATGATCAAACCCAGCTAGTGCAGGGAAGCCATGAGTGTGGGGGACTCTGGCCCCCGCGTGACGTCCAGCTATTAAGAGGAGGCAGCTCTGGTCCCGTGGGCGAGACCCACGGGACTAGAAAGGAAGCCTGACAGACAGTCACACATGGTCTCGTCGCACCACTGGGCAGTGGTCCTGCAACAGTGGAGCCCCAGAGGGTCGGAGCTGCTGGGAATGGTGGTGGAAGGTTCTGTTGCAGTGCTCGGAGCAGCATAGTGGGGCAGCTGCGTGGCTCCAGTGAGCACCAGGAAGACCAAAGAGCGGATGGTGAGGGTTACATGTTTGACCTTGACCTAAGGAAGGACAGAGCCAGCTCAGGCCTGGCACTTCTGGAAAGCAGGTTGGGACCTCTCCTGAGGAGCACAGTGGCTCTGGAAGCTTCCAACAGTGGCTGCCGCCCCCGCTCGGTGGAGACCTCTCTGCCTGGGTAGGGGCCAGAGCTCATGGCCACCAGGATCCTTCAACTCTTAAGTTTTTACACAGATGAGAAAAATAAACATCCGTTCACTAGAAAGATAAACACTCGTGGGCAACTAATGACGCATTCTGATGTTTGTTATCTTAACGTCCTAGTAGTTAGTAAAGCCGCTGTGTCCCCTAACCAAGCGTCTATCCACTGTCCGCAGCAGCGCTGATTTCTCCTGCCCCGCCATTGTTGGAGGCCACCCTGACTTGCCCTCCTGTCTCCACAGGCTGCGTCATCACCATCTCTGGACGCATGACCTTCACGAGCAATAAGTCCATGGAAATCGAAGTCTTGGTAGACGCCGACCCCGTGGTGGACAACTCTCAGAAGCGCTACCGGGCCGCCAGTGCCTTCTTCACCTACGTGTCCCTGAGCCAGGAGGGCAGGTCGCTGCCTGTGCCCCAGCTCGTGGTGAGTGTCCTGGGGAGTGGCCGCCCCTTCCTGCTGAGCTGGCCCTGGGGTTAGTGCCCTTGGGCCTCCCAGGAGAAGCTGGGCCACGTGAGTCCTACTGTCCTGTCCCGAGGGATAATAGTGGTACAGATCAGGCAAGGTCATGAAGGAATGCCTCATGGCTGGCAGCGAGGCGAGGCCTTGGAGTTCTACTGCCAGGGATGGGTGGAGCTGGGTAGACGGGACAAGAGAGACCCCTTTCTGAGCTCCTCATCGATGCTTTCTGCAGGGATCCAGGTTGTCTCTGGGTTCTGTGCCTTGGGGTTATCTGGCATTGTGTCTAAACACTAGAGTGGAGATGAGGACCACGCCTCGTGTCCCCCTCTCGGGTGACCATGGCCTGTGTGTCCTGCCTGATGAGACCGTGCCAGACCTGTGGACTTCGGGGCTGGGGTTTCCGGCTTCTTGGTCTTTCTCTGCCTCAGGCTGCAGGGCAGGGTGGTGGGTGTGTGCCCAGTCTTATGCCCCCACTCCACGTCCTCTGAGCTCTGTTGCATTTGAGAGCACGGTTCACATGGCCCAGAGAGGCAGCTTCCAAGTCTGTCATAAGAATGGAGGTTCCCTGTCCTGGCCAACGCCCAGGGCTCTGCAGCCTTCAGGCTGGTCCTGACTCCTCTTTGAACCAGTCCTTGTGTCTGTCGCTATGGGGACGAAGAGGAAACCAGAGCCGTGGGGTGAGGGGGCGGGGGCAGAGCGCTGGGGCAGGGTGGGCCTGCAGGCCTCTCGGGTGTCTGGCGCTCTTGCGGAAGCGGCCAGGCAGGGGACACAACCCCCGCCAGCCTGAGCCCTGCTTCCAGAAGTACTCACAGGCCCCACCGCCCCCACAGCGTCTGCTCCCCACGCAGATCTGAGCATTTGCTGCTCAGCCTCCTGGAGAGGAGCGTGGACTCAAACCTCCGCCTCAAGAACACGTTGCATTTAGAATCTCATTTCCTCCCAGAGTCCAAGCACAGCTCTGATGGCTTTCTCTGGGGCTGAGGCAGGCCAACTGCCTGGCCCTGGCCGCCCGTGGCCGCTCGTTTCTTGGTGGAAGCTGGGCCCTTCCAAGCTCACTCGCCCACCCTGTCCCTTCCTGAGCCCATGCCTCACCAGGGCCCGCAGGTGGCAATGCCTCTGACGTCCCCTTGCACAGCTCCCGTGACCGGGCCTCCTGGAACACCGCCTTCCCTTGGGGCTTGTGAGGCAGGCTTCCCTTTAGGCAGGAGGCCCCCCCAGTCCCTCTTCTCCATGTCCCCAGCCCATGGCCTCCTCGACAAAGCCCCCCCCCGCCCCGTCAGGACTGGCCGGGCTGCCCTGCTCCCCTTCATCTCCCCCACGACTCTTCCTTTGCTTATAAACCCTCCCCCACCGCTTCTGCCCCCTCTCTGGGCGGCAGGCCCCACACAGCTCTTCTGTCTTGTCCCAAGCCACTCCTCTACTGCTGAAAGTAACGCGCACCGGGGAGGGGAATGCCTGGCCCAACATGCTGCCGTCAGCCCTCGCAGGATGGCGTCCGCCTGGCCATGTCGCCTCAGCTGATCCGCAGTCCTTCCTCAGCCCTCGAAGTCACTGTGGACGGGCCCAACCTCTGTCCTCGACCTTCAGAGCCCTGTGTCTTGTCCTCCCACCGCGAATACCTCCTCTCGGGTCCTGCCTGTCTTCTTGGCCCTGAAGTGCAGGTTCCTGTTCTCTCCCAGGCCCCTCCGTGACACTTTCCCACTTGGCTGCCCCTAACCCCTCTGTCCTGGATACTGAATTCCGCTCTGCACACAGGCAAATTCCTGGAACCCTCTCCTTCCCAGCCTCCTGGGCTCGGCTTTCCTGGCTCTCTCTTCTCTCTGCAGCGTGGCCAGATCCCAGGACACGCTCTGCCTCTCCCTGGCTTGGCACAATTGACATGGAACTCTGCAGTGTCTGTAAGGACCCTTGGCCTCCCTGGCCACCCCGCGGTCCCCTCAACACAAGGCCTTGACCGGTCCTGACCTGTGTTCCCTCTCTTCTTGGGCAGCTGGGTCCATCTCCTGCGTTTTGGACAGTGTCCTTGTTCCCTGTTGACTCCCAAGTCAGCTTGGCCAGCCTGACTCTCTCTATCAGGTCTGCAGAAGCATCTCAAGCAGTTTGTCCAAATGGAACTCGCTATTCTTCCCCCAAAACTCTCTCTCCCCTTTCTGTGTTCCTGCTACGTAGGTCTGGGGACCCAGCTGGCTCCTCCCTGCTGCTCAGCCCCTGGGACGCCCACCCAGCACTGCCCCCTCCTGAATAGCTCTTAGGTCTCCCACTGTCCCATCCCCACCACCAGACCTCCACTCGGCCCCCAGCTGCTCCCTCCCCCGTTCCTGCTGCCCTTGGGCCCAGGGAGCTGAGAGTCAGAAATCTGGTTTGCTCTGTCTGTCTCCTCTCCCACCATACCCAGCATGGCCCCCCCGCATCTCTGACCACCCTCTCAGCCCCATC